AAGCTCGACATTTTTTTAGCTATACGAGTTTCCTTTCTATGTTGTTTGTCGGTAAAGTACATTGAAATTTTGCGGGAAATTTGAAATTATTGATGTAAATAATAATAACAACATAGAGAGGAAACTCGTATAGCTAAAAAAATGTCGAGCTTTTAAAATACCAACCAAATAAAATGTCGACCACTCTAAATATCGATCATTTAGAATTTCGATCAAATAAAATATCGACTTAAAGTAATTCGATCAATTAAAATTTCCAACTTTTTAATTTTTTGGAAAAATCATGCGCCTCCATATGTTGCCATGACAACACGTGTGTTAAAAAAGGACAAAAAAAGTATTGTCATGGCAACACGTGTGTTACAAAAGGATAAAAAAGTGTATGCATATCTGTTCACAAGTTTACAAAAATTTTAACTTTATATATTTGATTTTATCGGGAAAAAAATAAATAACTTTGGAAAGAATACGGGTTAATATTTAAAAATTTTTTTTGATAAATTTTCCTCCGTTTTAATTAGAAAAAAAATTTTTTTAAACTTTTTTTTCTAAGGTTATGTGATTGTTGTGATTTCACATAATTATAAATATTCTCCGCAGATTTTCTGGTAAAATATTTGATAGATGGAGATAAAATTTTGTGGAGAATTCACTCGTTTACGTCCATTGTAGAACCGACTTTAGGGCCTATCCAGAATAGACCAAAAGCATGAACGTATACGTAACGTCACAATGTATTTTTAATGGATACGTTACGTTCACGTTAATGTTTTTGGTCTATTGTGGACACAACCTAATATTAAAAGGCCTAAGCAGAATAGCTTTGCGAAAGACGTTCGCGAACGTGAAACATGAGTTAGAAAAGGACAGAGGTATATTCGTATCCTTTTCTATCTCATGCATCTCGTTCGGGAATCTATTGTGCGTTGGACTTAATTCAATTTAGTTATCGAACTATCAATATTGACCCTAGTGGCGATTATTGACTGTTATATAATAAATAACTGGTGGTAATTAATTAAAAATTATTTGGAGTTGTTTTCTAACCCAGTTGTACTTTTCCACAAAATTTTAGCTCAATTTATCAAATATTTTGCGAAAAAACCTGCGGAGAATATTGCAGGGAGAATTTTTACATGTGTAATCACAACAATTACATAACCTTAAAATGTAATTTTTTTTTCTCTTTTTAAAAGAAACTTTGTTATTGGATGTAAATTTATATTCAATATAAGATATATTATTTTATATTTTTGTTAAATTTTGTTATTTTTTAACCATTTAGTTGCACATTGCAAAAATATAAAAGCGCAAATTAAACTGCCTTGCATATCTACTTACAATTTGTTGGGTTGCTTAACTCCTTCCTGAAGAAGACATTCTTTTTAAAATAATATCTAATACATTTAAAAAAAAATTTCTTTTCTTTAATATCGAAATTTGAAAGAATTAAAATTAAAAAAAACACTAAAAATAATTTTACTCTTTGGAATAAAATAGATACTATTTTTATTTTTTTTTTTTTGAAAATTGTCTTTTTCAGCGGAGACAACCTTAGGAATGATATAAGGTAAACTTGACTTTTAATAAGGTCTATTCTCCAGAATTTTAAGACTTTAATAATTATATTCAATTATATTCTTGAAAAATATATTATATATGAAGAATTATATAATAAATTGCCAATAGATTATTTTTTACAATTATACTTTTTATACAAAAAAATTTTCTAGTTACTCTTTAAAAATATGAATCGTCTTTAAGGCCATGTGGGCAAAAGATGTATTTTTGTGGTTTCCAACTTTCTTTGAAATAAATAATGATTTTGGGTTAAAATATTCAAGACTTGATAAAGGAGGGTGCAAAGCATAGGGCTGTTCTTCACTTAACGTAAAAATAATAAAAATAAAGCAATAAATAGTAAAATAATGTATTTAGTTGTAATTCATTCAGTGGCCACTTGCTCGAATTGGCGCTGTTTACTGGAGCACTGACACACTCATGCAACGTCTGTGTATGCGCCGCCATCTTTGTTGTCATTTTCGTTTAAAAATTAAACTTTTTAAACTTATTTTTAAAATAATTTAACGCAAAATTAAGTTTTTTCAGGAGAACAGCGCGATGCATTGCACCCAAATCTATCAATCCTCAAAATTTTAGCCTAAAATCTTTTTTCATTTTAGAGAAAGTTGGAATATTGCAAAACACATTTTTCTATACGAGGTCACGTGGGTTTCTCCCACATGCCGTTAAATGACATTTTTGTCTAAAGCAAATAATTCAATGATAAGATATTTAGATAATGATGATGATGCGAAAATATCCTCTTTTTGCAGAATCGATCATATATATTATATTTTCTTTAATTTTATTTTACATTTTATTTTTAACCAATATATTTAATTTTTAATTAAACACTTAATGAGGCACTCGCAGTTGTAACTTTCAAAAAATCGATTTTTTTTGCATTTTCTTAAAGTATATTATGTTGTCAGAAATATATCTACAAAATTTTAAGATGATCCGGTGAAAATTGAATGAGATATATATACTGGCTGAAAGGGAGGCGCGTCAGGTCTAAACCAATTGTCTTGAAATTTAACATACATTTTCAATACATAATAATTTAGTCCTTGATCGAAGGATTGATTTTTTTATGCAAAACTTTTTTTTTACAGCTGAAAAACGACCGATTTTTTTTTACGAAAATCGAACGCCAAATATTTTTTTTTTTCAAATCCTTCGATCAAAGACTAGATAATCTTTCAATAAATGTAAATCCGTTTCAATTTTTGATTTCTGACGAATCAGATTTACATAGTGTTGGTCACCGCAAACCATGTTTTTCAAAAGGACGTCACTTTGACAGGAGATAACTTTAAAATTATTTAATATTTTTAACTTTTTTTTTTTTTTTTGAAATTCATGCTTATTAATGTATGTACTTTTAAATAATAAATCGATATTTTGAAAAAATTAAATGGTGTACGAGAAAAAAATTCATAAAAAAAAGGTCTATTTTTTGGCGCTACAACTGCAAGTGCCCCCTTTAAAATAGCTGATATAAAATAAAGATACAAAATAAATAGATTTTCTTTTTTCTGTATATATAATTTTTTTAAAATTTTTGTTTTAAAATCTTAAGTTCTTAGAGAATAAGCCGTTAAATTTTTTAATGCCGCACAGAGAAAAATAGCGATTTTTTGTTTGTTTTTCTTTTCTAAAAAAAAAAAATAGTATCGGAGTTCGTGTTTCGTTTTCTGTATACTTGTCAATATTTATATAATTATTTTCCTGTGATTTCCAAAGTAGTTATTTGTAATAATTATTGTTTGTCATCTCTTTGGTAATTTACTATTTTTTGTTACAAACAATTATTATTAATTACTATCTTTACTCTCTAAATCTGAAATAGTAGTTTTCTACTAATAAAAGAGTGCGTATTCGTTTACCAATTGAATTAATAACAGTTTTGACTAATTTTTAGTTAAAAAAAACTACTAATTCATGGAGTAAATCGGCTTACTAATTTGAAATAGTAAAAAATACCATTTACTTCATGAATTAGTAGTTTCCTACTAGCAATTAGTAGTTTTTTTTTTACTAAAAATTAGTCAAAACTGTTACTAATTCAATTAGTAAACGAATACGCACTCTTTCATTAGTAGAAAACTACTAATTCAGATTTAGAGAGTATTATACCTAATGAACAATTTACTTTAACCCGTTGCCTGTCGCTGACGCATATATGCGTAAAACTAAAACTGGCCAAAAGTGCTGTTTACGCATATATGCGCAACTTAAAAAAAGTGATGAAAAACATCTCAAATATTTCTGAAACTGGTTACTCGGGGGTTTTTGGGGTCGCTGATTACGAATCTGATATCAGTTTTTTAAAATTCAAGATGGCAGATCCATTATGGCGGAAAATTTTTCAAAATTGATCGGATTCGACTGAAGCTCGTTACTCAGGGGTTTTCGGGGTCGCTGATTCCGAATATGACATCAGATTTTCAAAATTCAAAATGTCGGATCCAATATGGCGGACGACTATCTAAATCTGATTAATTTTGAAAAATTTTCCTCCATATTGGATCCACCATTTTGAATTTTGGAAATTAAAAATTTTTGATTTCAGATTCGTAAACAGCGAGCCCGTAAACTCCCGAGTAACCATTTTCAAGCAAATTGCATTACACTTTCAAATTGTCGTCCGCCATATTGAACCGCCATTTTGAATTTTAAAAAACTAACATCGAATTAGTAATCAGCGACCCCGAAAACTCCCGAATACCCATTTTTAAGAGAATTGCATTATATTTCAAATTGTCGTCCGCCATATTGGATCCGCCATTTTGAATTTTGAAAAACCGACCTTAGGTTCGTAATTAGCGACCCTGAAAACCTAAAGATATCAAGTTTCATAAAAATTCATTAAAATTTTTTTCAACACACTTTTGGCCCAAATAGTGGAAATCTCGTCGACAGTCAAGGGGTTAATTAAGCAAACTTTCGCTTATTATTAGTTTTTTCATAAAAATTTTATATTAATAATTACCTATGTATTAATAAAATAATAATAATAATATTATTATTATTTTAATGAAAAAAAGAATAATTGTCTCACTATTTTGCTCTGTGCATAGGAAAAAAAAAAAATTTGTTGACATTGACACTGTGGGAAGACAAGGAATATGGCATTATATATGCAAAACAAACTACTTGTTCATCGGGATGATGAAGATGTCGATAGAGCAGCAACGTTACACCTAACGATGACAACTAGAGCACACAATTTCATTGTTCCTATAAATTCAATTAAATTTTCTCGAGACTGTTTAATATATAATGCGATATATATATGCTCGCAAAAAAGTATTTTTTTTTTTTTTTAATATAAAAAAGAAAAAAATAGTATTATAATAGGTACTCAAGTATAGTAGTATATTATATATGACACACATGGTTGCACGACGATGGTTTTTTAATAATCAAGATACCTCGAACATAAGGAGGGGAAGTATGACAATTTCCATGGCAGCTACGTGGCAAAAATAGTGAAAGGCGTCTCAAAACTTCGGCCAGGCGGCCTGCAGCCCCAATTTGTTCACTCTCAGCAAAATCGAATTGCTCGCCGATGTTATCTTCAAATAGAAGCAAATTGTCCAAAATCGCCACTAATTACTTTTCTATGTGCCACCTTTTGCGAGGGGCCTTCACTATTTTCTTAATTTTTTTTTTTTTTTTTTTTTTTACAGAAAGCTCCCCAACTTACAAATATATAATATTGTACACTGAAAAAAAAATTTATTTCACTAAAATAATCCATTACTTGCGACTATTATCAAATAAATATATTTACTTGAACCAAATAATTTTTATTTGAAATAATTTCTGTATTTGAAACAAAATATTATTTAATTAATTTAAAAATTATTTGGTTCAAGTAAATATTTATTTGATAATCAAGTAACCGATTATTTGAATGAAATAATTTTTTTTTCCAGTGTATAAAATAAATATATCAAAAATATATTATAAACGAGAATACTTTTTTTTTTCTTTTTTTAAAAACAAATCAAAAAATTGAATTTTTCTTCTCACAATTCATGATGTAATTTATATATATGTATATTTGATATCATTAAAATTATTACATTCTATTTATATTCTATAAATGAGAGGCGTTATTATGCTTAATTTTTATTTCGTCGAATTAACATTTGACAGAAATTCTTTTTACCAGAATTTTCATTTAAATGAGTGGAACAGACATTGAAGTTAAAATTTAGTCAATTCCATATTTTCTTATCTTCAACTCAAGAAGCAAGTTATGAATATAATTAAAAAGTATTTTAGTGCAATTTTAGTAAAAAAAAAATGTACTTTTATACTTTGCATCATTAAAAATTGACACTGAAGAAATATTAAAAAAGTTTTAAAATTAAAATCAACACAATTTTTAGGTTATGTTACTGAAATCAAAGATGCCAACGACTGTCATCAGAAGCCACTGCGCTTCCAGTAAGAAGCGAGGAATTAAGAAAAATTAACAATTTTAAATTCTTCTAAATTCCGTTTCTGTCCAATTTCTTTTTTATCTATTTGGAATAATTTAAAATAAGCTCAAATCAATTCTTTTGAATACCGTTTTAAAAATTAAACAGTTCATGAAGTTTTAAAATGGAATAGATTGGATTTCATTTTTAGGCGAATTAATAATTAAAAATGTTGAAGAGTCTCTGAAATTTTTTGGCAAAGAGAGACCTTTTATTACCACCCTATAAAAACGGCACTGAACTTGTAAATAATAAACATTGATTTTAAAATACTTTTTTCTCGAAACATTGTCACTTTTTACAAAATTAGCCAACATATAAAGGATCCTTATATTATAAATTTCCAAAATCCGAAAAATTTTGTGAATTAATGCCAAAACGTGATTGTAAAATTGGAAACAGGAAAGCAATATAATGACAATCTGCAGGTGGTTCATTACGTCCAGTCGCCGTCAGATGGCAGAAGTATATACAGGGAGCACGAAGTCGCAGCTGTCATTATATTACTTTCCTTTTTTCAATTTTGCAATCGCATTATTGCATCAATTTGCACAATCTTTTTGATTTTGGAAATTTATAAGACAAAGATCCTTGGTATGTTGGCCGATTTTGTAAAAAGTGTCAATATTTCGAGAAAAAAATATTTTAAAATCAATGTTTATTATTTTCACGTTAAGTGCCGTTAATATAGGGTGATAATGAAAGTTATGTTTAATTTATTATTTTCTATGAATGGCAAAACTTTTCAATTTTTTTTTTAATTTTTCGCTTCTTACTGGGCTTGCTCTACTGTAACTCTCTCATTGGTAGGCAAAGGCACTTTTATTTAAAATTCTTTACTATAAGAAAATGTTTTCAAAAAAAAAGTTAAGTGCTAAATTTAAAGTTATGTTTTTTTAAAAGAAGAATTAATTTTTATCAACTATTTTTAGAGATTCATAAAATTTTATTTCCAATTTTGAACATCGGACCTTACGTCCAAAAAATTTATTTTCTATTGATTGGTGATTCTGATAGGAAAAAGTTTTCTCTATCAGAATCACCAATCACTAAAAAAAATCAATGTTGTCGGACGTAAGGTATCTTTTAACTGTCCAGGTTACACACCGAAAAAAAATATTCTTGTATTCAGAGGAAAATTCCTCTTACAGAATCCTCTTGAATTTTATTCTTGAAACAAGAGTATTACTCTTTAAATAAGACTATTTTCCTCTAATTTCAAGAGGATCGAAACAAAAGGACTATTCTAGAGCATTCCTCTTATATTCAGAATAATCTTTTTAGAATTAAAATAATACTCTTAGAATTTAGAACTAGATTATTGCATTTTTATTATTTCAGAGTTCTTTTTAAGATAATATTTTCCTCTTAAAATAAGAGTATCCTCTTAAATTAAGAGGAATAATTTTACATAAAGGACAATCCTCTTAAACCTAGAGGACATCCTTTTGCAGCATATACTAGAGGAAAATATGCATTGAAATAAGAGGAAACCTCTTGAAATAAGAGGATTTTTTTTCGGTGCATATTATACATTTAAAAATATAATTCATGCATTTCATAGGTACTTATTTTAAGAATTTTATTCATATTTTAAAAATATACACCGAAAAAAAAATCCTCTTGTTTCAAGAGGATTCCTCTTATTTCAATGCATATTTTCCTCTAGTATATGCTGCAATAGGATGTCCTCTAGGTTTAAGAGGATTGTCCTTTATGTAAAATTATTCCTCTTAATTTAAGAGGATAGTCTTATTTTAAGAGGAAAATATCATCTTAAAAAGAATTCTGAAATAATAAAAATGCAATCATCTAATTTGTATGTCATAGATATAATCTATAAAATTAAAAGGAATAAAATTTGTTATTCCATGATTTACATCTATTTGACTATAAATAAATTGAAATTGATTTTAATTTTTTTGAATAAATCAACTAAATCTATTTTTAATAATATTTTTATGCACAAAACATATAATTCATTAAATTTGAAAATTTATTTTAAATAAATTTTCAAATAAAATTAAAATAAATAAAAATCGTAATAAAATAAATTTTTAATTAGCATGACCTCAAAATTATTTAAATTTTCTTAAAAATTACTTAAAAAATTTTTTTTACCTTCAAAAATAGGCACGTATTGTGTAAGTTGCAACTCTATCAAGATATTTAAAAGATTATTATCCATTTTGGTTTATTCCCATTTTTTCACACAGAAACTAAAACTTTTTCACGCATGATATGCGATTTATGACGCGACGTAAATGATATGACGCAATCATCTTTGCGCATGAGCGATTTTTTATGGGAAATCCTCTTAGAATTCAGAAGAATATTCTTAAACATAGAAGATTATTCTAAATTCTAAGAGTATTATTTTTTATTCTAAAAAGATTATTCTGAATATAAGAGGAATGCTCTAGAATAGTCCTTTAGTTTCGATCCTCTTGAAATCAGAGGAAAATATTCTCATTTAAAGAGTAATACTCTTGTTTTAAGAATAAAATTCAAGAGGATTCTGTAAGAGGAATTTTCCTCTGAATACAAGAATATTTTTTTTTCGGTGATTTCATATGAATGAAATGAACTGATTATATATTCTTAAATAGAAGTCAGAATTATATTTTTAAATTTAGAATATCGTTTTTCCAGCAAAAATAAGTATATATACATAAATTTACTTAATTTTTTAGCTTGTTTAAAAAAGAACTAAATGAAAACTGAATTAGAAAAAAAAATTTGTCACAATCATTTCCATTTTGAGAGGAATTCATTCATTGAACCTGAATATTTAAAGTAAAGTTGCATAAAAAAAGGAAAGGAATCCTTTAATATATTAAAAATATTTTTTTTCTCAGTATCCAACTCATTTTTGTATTAAAAAAAATACTTTCTAAGAATTCTATTTCAAAAAAAAAAATTAGAAAACGCACATTTAAAATAAACGCAGATGAGACGTTAAGCTAAGAGAGCATAAATAATCATTATAAACATGATATTTATAAATTGGAAGAATTTCTTGAAAGTTCTATAAGTAAAAGTTACTGACCAAGCCTCTCGATACATATAGAAAAGTATTAATGGCGACTCAATTAAATATAGTGTATATACGATGGTCCAAATTAAGCATTTTTTTTCATTAAATTTTGATAACCGAATAATATTGCTTATTTTTTTTTTTACGAATTAACTACTTGGGTGATTCTTTATTAAAGTTATTTTCAATTTTAGTGGCACAATAATTTATATTTTACCAATAAAAATAAAATTTTAATTATTTACAAATGTTTTTTATAATAAGCATATTACATCTACTTAAACATGAAATTTTTTTATTCTGAGAGGATAATATAAAAACAATTTTACTTCTTTTCCTCTCAATAAGAGATTATTCATTCAATTTATATGGCATTTCTAATTATTTTCAATAAACTGAATTTGCCAAAAATTTGCAAATCTGTATATAAATAATGTTACTGATTTTTCGGCTTGTCAACATTGACAAAAAAAGAAAATATTTATTTTGAATAAAATTTGTCCATTCGTTTATATTTGATTTTTTCTTAAAAAAAAAATTTAATGAGAAAAAATTTGAAGGAGATATTAAGATTTTAGATATATAAATGAGAATCACCCTTGCAGCAATGAAAATATGTTATAACTTGGGCACAGGCCAATTACTGACGAGAATAATAAAAAGCGATGCAAAAAAAAAGAAGTTTCCTCTCAGAAGTACATTTCATTGCACGAGACAAATTAACTACCATATATGTATATATTTATGAAACCAGAATATTTCTGTACCTTTTAATTGAAATCTCAAATGCTAGAAAACTCTTTTATCTATTTTTTTTTTTTTTTTTTTTTACTAATACACATATATTTCCCATTCCTTTGATTCACATCAAGACAATTGTGTATACAAATTACAAGATTATTGGGAGTTTTGACTCGTCAAAAACATTCATTTCAATGACACTAATTTATCATAAACAAAAATTTGTGAGAAAGTTGGAAAAAAAATTTTTTTTTTTCAATTTAAGGGAAAATCTTGATGATTCAGGCAATTTCTTTAGTTTTTTTTA